TCATCCGGGAATGTACCTGATAGCTTTCGCGCCTACTACTATGGTGAAAATTTAATTACTGTCATGCGTTTAAACAACTCTAGTATCGGAGTGCTAATATCCTCCCTTAAGTCCATGGCATTGTGGGGTAAAAATTATTTGCCTGTGATACAAATGAAATATCTATTCGAGGCGATCTTTACTTCAACGCGTAGTTGCCTTTCAACCTCTGTCTTCTGGCTTACTCAAATGTATTGTTTACAGTGTCTCAGAACCTTGAAGCTTCTAAGAAGACAGTAGGCGTGTGGCATGGAAAACCGAGCCGGTTTTCGAAATGTGGCAGATCCAACAACCCGATCTCTATATCCATTTATTACTAACATATTTAGGTTATACGTGTCCTCATATACGCAGCTTAATAGTTCATCGGATAACTTTTCTCTGATGGAATTCGAAATTAAAACGTTCTTGATGTATTTCAGTGAAATGGTTTACCTTTCATAGCATCTCCATGGCTTATTCATTCTGTACACACAGTAAGGCCCTCATGAATGTCTTTTGTGTCTTGATGAACGGTAGTGCAATTCTGTATCGGTCCCTTGGCTTCCTGCTCCGCCCACCATGGTATATCAAAAAACACGGTAGCTCTAGACAGCCCTTTATGGAGACAAAAGTAGAATCATTGCATCTGTATTTATAGGGTAATCACAAAGTGTTCCACAAGGTCGTGTCAATTAGAGCATGCCTTCATTTGGTCCGTGTCCTACAGGTGACACATCCGTCCAAATGACGTGATGTTAGGTTATTAAGGACGGTTGGCCTCCGTACACGTCTGACATTCTACGGATCAGCGACGTATATGAAACTATAGTCATGCAACAAGGCTTCGGAAAGTGCCAAATACGATGCATTTTCAATAAAAAAGACAGCCTACTTTCATAGGGCCTAAAAGCGAGGTACCCATCAGTTGTATATGCCTTATCAATTGAGTTATTACTTATTCGACATGTTACAACGCACTGACCAGGAACAATTATAGACTTTGCTGAGAAAAACCAAGCGTTCGTGTCCAGAATACAGACTTCGCGTTTATCGCTGTGTGGGTTAACGGGAATGTCAGTCTAATAAACTCCTACGCAACGCTACATCATGCCGGCTTTTGAGCCGAATGTAAACAGTGTACACGTTCCTACTTTGTGCAAATATTTGCGCTCAAAAACGTTTTACTGACCGATTTTTTCAAGTAAATGTTAACCATATGTATCGATAGATACTCCCTTTATCTACTGCGATTTCACCGTAGCACACAAAGCCGGCAAATATCTTTGAGTGACCCCAATATGTTCTACTCTAAGTTATGTGGATGTTTTCCGTGATACTTGTGCAAATTGCTGAAATTTCAAGCGGCATTCAAATCGTTGGTATTGTGGGGAGGTTTGAGAACTGCCAACTGAGATTTCGTCCCGGCTAATCTATTGGGAGTTTCAAACCTGCGATCTCTCGGCTAGTAGTTAAACACCTGAGTTTTAGGTCAAGAGCAACAGTGTGATTAACTTGCACTCTGCAGGGGCACAGCGCTGTTAATCCCTCGATGAATTATGGAAACCCCATCACGTGGTCACGCCCCGGTGACCTCCTAGTTTCACTCAACCCACGAAGTTGCCCTTCCTCAGAGCTCTTTTTTCAAGTCATTACTATAGAGAATGTCTGCCCAAAGGTTAAATAAACCACTACTGAGGTATCAACTACCATAAACTCGTATACCAACAAGTATTGACAAATTTCGCCCATAAGTGATGTCTTAAATGGTACAGTGATGTGCGCATGACAAAACTCTCCTTTTTAGCTTGTTGTTTGCTTTCTCCTGGTCTGACTCCGCTTCTAAAATGTTAGTTTTTTTAGAAGCGTTTAGTACGTAATATTTTTAGCCAGAATATATGGAACACCGCCACATGGGGCGGACAAGCTATCCAAGCAGTAATGATTATACACACAAACAGGAAATATTCATGTCAATGTAATTTTTTTTATTTCTGAACTGAGGCAGTAGGGCTGCCTTCAGTTTCCAGGTCCCTACCATTAGTTTCCTTCCACAATTACTGGAAGAACCAATATTTCCTGATGTTGAGAAAACTATTCGAAAGATTCCCGAGCATCGTATCAATCATGTCGATGGCCAAAATGTGTCAATTTTAAACGCCATCACCTGTCAGTTTTACAGGTCAGTGTAAGACGATTTCAGCGGAGATCTTTCAGCGACCTCACAGTGCGTTGATTTATCATCCTGTTCTGATCCCATAGACCTTGTACTAGAGTGGTGTTGGATTCTTCCATTCAAAAGGCTACAGTGGGCCTTGCATTCGCTAACAAACTTAGATTCATCTGCATGAACCTGGATGGAGTACGAGAGAGTTCATCCGCAGGCACAATAACGATAGACATTATATTATCGATTGCATTTCCAGAAACTGGACAAAACGAGACATCATTATCAACTCATTCGTCCCGGCCCAAATATAATTTGATTTATACAATATATTCAACCACATTCTACCAAATCTACACAACATTCTACAATGGTCTACTTTAATATCGATTTGTGAAGCGCCATGAACCCAAAAGTAGCCCCCCTTGCCTGAGCAGAAGGCGAAAGTCGGGTTGAATCCTAAGTTGGCTTGAGTTAAGTCCCACAAACGGAGTTATACGTAGTCATTGAGCCATTCCACGAGTAGGTCCAACAACAGCCCAGTAACTAGATCTCTGTCTTGAGAGTACGCTTGGCTGTGGGAAAGGTGGGACAAACCAAGGAAATTCATACCATGTGATTGATACCAGTGAAACGGTGATGCTACTGATGGGGGGCATGCGAGTAGTATGTTTTCTCCTGCATCCACTTTGCATCTCTCGAAAAGTGGCATGTATTACGGAATTTGTGGAGTCGTTGTGTCTTATTTGCTTGCAATTGAGTAACAGTCAATGAATAGACGGAAAAGTTCAGGAAGAAGCGTTCAAGGGGAAGATGGATATTCAGTTTTGTAAACAAGATGCACATGAGAGTTTTGTTCCCCTGCCCAATAGTCGAAAACTGTTAAGTTAGCATTTTCTGCCAAATAACTTCGCAGCGAAGGTCTCCCTCCTTTCACCAGTACGGGAACTTTTGGTGTAGGTAACAGAGATGTGGTCGAGTTACACAGTTTGTGATTCTATTCACAGTGGAGGATGACACATCCAGTTAAGTGTAACCTCCTGTTCCTTCTTCGTTACAGAACTCACTGAGACACTAAATGACGTTGCTGCTGAAAAATCGTATTATAGTACTCTCTCTGTCTGGCAGCCTACGGTGTGACGACTAATTCTCTAGTACGGTCTTGTGCTGAGCTATTTCGCTCTGTACAAAACGACCGCCACCCTAACACAACCGAACTTGATTGACCTTGCCAAAGTCATTACACGGTGAGTAGGATCTCCCCCGATGGCCTAAGTTGTGCCCTAATCAACAGCCTTCTTTTTGCCAGAATCCCATCTGAACCCCTATAGATGAAACAGGTGGTACGCCTAGAGAACAAAACATCCTGCAAAGACGCGCGAGTTTCCCACGGTAAGAACTAATTACCAGTCGTTCTTGCGATGCTAATTTGAGTTACTGTGGGGGTTAAAAAATGCGAGCTGAACACCGCCGATTGACTGGGGTGGTCGGATTTGAAGCATAGTCGGAATCAGTTGGCTCAAAGCGCTGACTATTTGTCACAGCACTGAAAAAGATAGACCACACTGTGGTACAGCTGCACTGACGTAAGATAGCTAACAAAAAGTTGCAAACGGATATCATATTTTGCAGGCAAATCGATCCCTGTCGAGGAAAATAAGGCGGCTGTAGGGGAAAATGGACATCGAACATATGCTGTTTCGAGGGTTATTCTGCCAAAAAACATTATTTCACTGTCATGTGCTGAAACAAAACAAATAGGAACCAGTAAACCCAATCGAATGCATGCTTATATACTACACTCAGATATCCCAGTGAGCTCCAGGACCGAGAAGCGAAACTGAACACCAAAGAACAAAATGCGCATACCACAAACGAGTCAGTTCCAATTACTAAGTGGATTGGAATTCCATCAATACTTGAACTGATTTTTCGATCGACTGTTTGATCAATCACAGCTACTGAACCGGTCTCTTCGTCACAATCCGACACGGTTTTCCCGTACGTGTCGGCGGGCCTAGGCTCACACCTATAAAAAGATAAAGATAGCCGTTTCAACATGAACTGACACTATTTGACCCGAGTATTTTCATCAGGGTGTTACCCAGTGCATCAGCCTTCACTGGATAAAAATTGAACAAAAAGTTTTCGTTTTTCAAGAGAGAATATTGATCATTCCAGTAATGCTTTACGTGTGTGGTTCAGCACACCGTTTGCCGAAAAGTCGTACACCATATTTCCGGATCAGATGACCGCTGTAGGGGGTAAATTAAAGAATTGCCTCCCGTGGTGTTGATCCAAATGGGAAGAGAGCTGTTGAACTTTGCCGTATTAATTAGCAACAATGGTTCAACAGTACAATTACCAGGGAATAATAAATCAGAATGAATAACTCTACTAATTGTCCATCAACTGGGTCCCGTTCTTACAGTGCAGCTCAACTTCTGGGGGAAGTCGGATAAGTTCAGAATAATAAGATTAAAAAATCGCATACAGTGTTAGGTAACCATTAGCGACAAAAGTGTTACCCAGTTTTGCGCTACCCACCAGAGGAAAAAGAGTGAGATTCAGTTTGTTTAATCTGGCTATGTTATGCCTGCTGATTCGCCAATCTGTTGTATCTGACTGCTGACCCCGCTCGAAGGCCAAGTGCCGGAAAAATGACTCACTGAAGGGAACACAACAGCTATATTCCGAACAAGCGAGTGCAAGAGCGTGAGTGCGTGCTAGTCCAAAAATACAACGGCCTCGAGCCATTTATTGGAGGGACACTGTCTGAACTTGGTCCAACGCTGACGCACATTATCTGGTTTTGATGCAAGGCGGTGACGCGCTGCATATTGCGGCAGCGTTGTCTGTCTGGTCAGCATCTAGCGGAGCTGAGGGGCTCAGTAGATTTCAGGCATTTAGCGGTTACTTCCGGGAGTCTGACCTTCCTGATACCTACAACCATACCTCCATCCATACCTTCTATGGACCACGTGGTCAGCTCATCAGCATGGTTTTAAAAGGCTGTTACTTAGCACCTATTGCATTTTCCTGTTATTCCATCCCTGAGTGTATACTCTGCGAGATTCACCCTATTAGACCATCTCCGAAATTGAGCTAAAGACATTCGAATGAGATGGGTGATAGTGTGTTATTCTGTATGATGGTTTTTCCTCTAAATCTTTGTCGGCTGAGATTGGCCGTGACCGCACCAGGCAGAATGGCGTATACAGCAGACGCGGTACGCTCTCAATCCCAGATAAGAAACCCCCAATGATGGAGATGCATGGTGCTGCTGATCGAAACATGGGTTTACTCAGAAAGCGCCCCCACAAGGGACAACTGCAACAAGGATTAGCATGTTCTGATCAGCGAAAAGAACACTGAAGTGCACCTGTTCAAGTAAAACAATTGAACATGAAGATCACGCACAACTGATTTAAAGAACAAAGATAATTCTATTGAATAAGATTAGCCTTGATTATGCTGACATGAACTGCTTACTAAGTATTATCCCGTAATTCACCAAAAAGCAAGATGCTCCCGGCTTTCCTCGTGTTTATAAAACATAGGGTTTTCGTGCGGTTCTTAGCTCAAAGCAGGAAAGTGTGATGGTGGTAAACATTAGACTGTAAACGTGTGAATTACAGAACACCGAACGGAGCACCTGTTGTTGACAGAATGTACTGGTAAGTTTTCATTAAACCTCGGTTCTCAGTTCTGAGAGTAACTTTGTCTACCAAGGGTGGATTGACGCAGCTCAACAAAACTGGGTCAGGTAGGCACATTCTTTCTATCTAACTTCCGATTCTGGTGGGAACTAGTCGTGTTACCCAGTGCATTTAATCTGTCCACTGACGAGGCCGTTTTGGTCATACGCTCCCGGTGGAAAAATTGAAATTTCTGTGTCATCTCCTAAGCCTGTGCCATTGACGAATTTGGGGTGTGGTAAAAACAGAAAGTGTCGAGTCCAAGTTTTGAAGCATCCACAAAAATTACCTCGTAAATGAAAACTGATAGACGTTGGACAGGCGTTCAGGGGCGTTCATGAAAACGTTGTAATTATAGTATAATTCAAAATACAATGATAATAACGAAGAAGCATCTTACTATCGAACTCATGACTCATAATATCATCTTTTTCAATACTTTCCTCGATACTATTCATAGCGTTTTGAAAAATTACAAGCATACAGTCAATTTGGATTCATTTGCCGAGTGACAATACATCGCGAAATGAGCACTGCTCCAAATGACCTATCAGGATTTCATAAAATCCTAGAGAATAAGAATTACCGGATTCAATTTAGTCGCTTTCCTACCCAAAGTTAGAAGCCAGATTCGTTGAGGAATAGTGTAGCTAGACTCGTCATGTAGTTACGATTGATAATAACAACAGGATCGTTACAAACAGTGGACGAAGCAGTTTGCTGCTTAGTTTTGCATTTTCGAAAACTGTCAGGTCAAGCAAACTATAGTAGAGCATAAGACCAGTAATAACTAGTCGTAACAAGAAGGATATGACGAAAGTAACCGCGACTTAATGCGGCAGAAGACGAAACTACACATCAGGATATTTAACCAGAATCATGGAATGAGGGAAAAAATGAACAGATCAATTAAAGGATGTGACTAGTCTGTGAGGGTCAGTAGACTTATAAGAGAATCAGGTGAAACGTTACCAATGGAAGTAAATATATGGGACAGGTAGAAAGTAGTATAGACGAATAGTGGTTAACAGACTTGCGCCACGCAGCCTAACGTCGCAGATCGAACTGCGTGCCGTGAGGCGCAGGGTCACAATTAGAGTGCACGCTTCAATCAGGTACAGATCAATTGTGTTACGATCTTGTTGAGACCGTTCGTAGCCAAGTGGGCATCACACGAAATTTCCACCCCTGGCTTTCGAGGTCATAATAATTGACTCTAGGTGAGAAGACATACAAACAGCCGGTAGTAACCACCGCAGGAAAAAGACAAAAGGTTGCTTGTATAAACTACCACTGAATAAGATCCATAGACAACATTACATGGAAAGATAGAAACCTTTTGATTACTCAGTAACAGTCTGGACTGCTTCTGAGTTTGATACTCATGCATCCTACAAAGAAGTAACGGTTTGTTCGTATATTCATCAAAGGTTGTCAATAAAATGAGTATCTGTCAAAATGTAGGCAGCTCGGGTGTGTTTACTGGTGGTTGATCAGATAGCAGTTGATCTGCTCGCCGAGCTTGGCAACTGGCTTGCAAACGTTTCATCCCCAGTTGAAGAGACATCGACTCAACTGTGCACTGACGATGTCTCCTCAACTAAGGACGAAACGTTTGCAAGACAGTTGCCAAGCTCGGCGAGCAGATCAACTGCCATCTGATCAATCACAAATAAAATGAGTATCAGTGCATGTTTAATTCCACTCTGGGTGTGGCCAAACCAGGGTGCTGGATTCGGGTTTACCGTATTCAGATACGAATCTTCATCTTCAGAAATTGAATGATATGGCGGAACGAAGTGAAGAATGTAACGGAAAGTTTGGGTACCGCCGATGCTGTTTACCTTCTAGGGTAGGGTCTACTCGACACTCCCTTTGCTTGTGTGTGGAGACAATGAACGATATGGCGGTTAAGCGATATCATTGGCGTGTTGCACGTGTAGGTGACTTTTATGTTTATTGTAAGCGGGCCCCTGGTTCTCCCCCGTGTCACGGTTGTGTGGGAGTGAAGCACCAGGGTTCTTATCTGGTGTTATCGTCAATGATGATGACAACTGCAAAAACCGCCGAATTCCGTCTGACGTAAAATGCGAATGCTCAACAAACGATTACTCACCTGGCCAAATCATGATATATGCAAGACGCGCCATAACGAAAAATCCCCCGGTTTTCCACAAATGAATGCAATCACCAAGCTGTACTCCAGAAATTTTCAAACACCAATCTAGGACAACTGAGGAGACTCACCGGCTTTAATAGCAGCAGCAGTTTGGAAAACCGCCCACTTTCAACCGGACCCAGTCAAAATGACAGTCTGAATGTGATAGTGTGCGGGAAACTTTAATAAAACGGTCTTGCAGTATGGTTCGGTGCCGAGACGGACCAAGTGGTTAGAACGCGAATTTACTGACCGGAAGGTCCTCTCGACTTCCCTTGTCTAGGCTTGGGCAACCTGACAGTATCCCAGCCCTCGTGCTTCCTTCGTGTGGCATGGCAGCTAGGCACTGAAAGGGTGTCACAGCTGAACGATTTCGTAGTGTGGTTCACGTTGCAGAAGCGAAGAGAGGAACATTTACTTTCGTGGGAATCCCTCCTGGCTTCCTTGCGTTCAGCTGTGGCACCCTTTCAGTGCCTAGCTGCCATGCCACACGAAGGAAGCACGAGGGCTGGGATACTGCCAGGTTGCCCAAGCCTAAACAGGGGGCTTCCTGGAGGTAAGCAGAATCAAAAAACATCATAACTATTTCGCCTGAATAGCACAATTAACACCACGTTGAAAGGAGTTAAACACATGGAAAACGAATGCCCAACCTGTCAACAGTTTACAGCTGCATAATCCATCAAGGACCGACAGTATCCGAATTATTTTACTTCGGCATGCATCACGATACACGGTGCATCTCACCGCGATCGCTGTCGATGTTCCGGTTGTTGATTTTTTGTCATGCAGCTGTCGTGTGACAGGTGTGAACATTTACGTTAGTCATGCATTTTATGCACCACCATTCGACTGCATTTAGACACATGTATTCGAAAGTCGCATTCGTTCTGGTCTGTAATTAATCGCACCAGACCTATTCTATCACATTTGACGTGGAGCTTCCCTATTCCGACGGATCTTTCCTGATTTGGACGACCAAGTTTTGGTTTTTTGGAAATAGAAATGAAAGACTAACCTGAATGATTGGAGTTAAATGAGGGGACAGAATTTCCTCAGTAGTACCGTAGAAAAGTATATGCCCTCTCCAGGAGGCTTGTACTTCCGGATACTCCTGTTTCTGTGGTGTAGGGTAGATTGAGGAGTGGGTGTTGCGCCAAGTACTACCAATGAATTCTGAAGCTCACAGACCATTAAGATATTCTAGACCTCATCCTCTAACCTCATACGCATATGTTAGAAAGTAACAATTAATTCGACCACGACGCAGCTGGATTGCTGAGAACAACTCTTCCGCACTGTAACAGGAAAGCTGTTTTTACTTCCAGCCCTACATTCCACACCGTCAGCTGACTGTGAGTAATTTTCACATGTACCGAACGTCATTCGACGTGACTTTATAGTTTCGCACAGCTAAACCAAATGTGATAGTGGGGAGCCCTCAAATTTGTCAAAGGAGCTTGAATTACCCAACCGGTCCCGACGCATAACGTCCACAAAACATACCATTGTGCCAAACAAAACGAGTCAGTGTTTTCTTTTATGGAAAACCTTCACTTTGTCCTCACCATTATTCCAAATGCGTTGGATTGTAGAGTGTACAAACGTTACAAGGTTTTTGCGACTCAAAACTGGGCCTGACCAATATCTGGATCTCGAATCTTCTACATTCAATCATTTCTCGCATTCAGGGTCGTGTGGCCAAAATTCTGCACCATAACAACGGCCGATCACGTGACTTCATTCTGGATCCTTAAAATATGGACCCAGCAACTTTTAAGACTGATCTTGGTGTTTCACTCCAATAAAATAACCTAGTTTATTGATAATTGTACGCCATGTATTACCGGCCGTGACATTCTATTCATCAACTTTGAAGGAAAAAACGGTATTGTGTACATTTTGGTGCCCTGTCTAGAACATCCATTGCTAGTATGACACTACTGAAAGCTCTTAGGACTAAAATTACACTTCTGACTTTACCAATCGTTCACAATTTGTTATGAGCGAACTAAATGACCCGATTCTGTGGTACTCAAAGAATGCAGGAGTAGTTAAAACAGACCTGAAGCTTTCGACCGAGCTTGAGCTATTTCAAAAGAACTATTCTGGTTTCTGAAGAGTTTGGTAAACAATCTGTGGATTTATTGCTGGGCAACGTGTCGCTTTTGACACAAAAGCCTCATCAGGCCAAGTGAGTAAGTAAGTAGGTTGATTGGGTTTTAAGGCAGTCGGGGAACCAATCCGTGAGGTTCCTTGTGATTAGTGACGTGATCAGTGCTGGGTGTTCAGTCTGATGTTCCTGTTTGTTGATTAGTTGGGATGACTAACATTTACGATAGACTGGTTAGGGGGGATTCGTCTTTATGATGAACCCGGATTTTTTCGTCCTTCCTTCTTCAGTCTAGGACACCTTAACGGAAAACTATTCTGTTTGAACTTCGTAGGCCTGTTTGAGAATGCTGGTTGGTCCCTGGTATGAGGTTATCACAAAACGTGCGTTGCGAGGGCCCGACGATACGCTTCATTGCTTCATAAGTCAAAAATACTTCGTTTAAAGTTAACCGACAATAGGCTTGCCTACACTAGACGATGAATCCAACGAGGTAATCCTCTAAAATTCCCCAGGTTTTGAATGGTTTTGCTGCCAGTGAAGTCTATCATGGTGGTGTTTCTAAGTACATGAGAGTATCATACCCATGTTTGCTTGCGTTTTGGCGTTAAGTTAAACACGACATGGTTGCGGGTCCACAAAATGTATTCTCTCAGTGTGCCGATTTCGTTATCTATCTGCGCATGCCAGACCGAAGGTACTCACAAACTCAACCGCAAGTCATTAAGTTTTTTTCGGCTGTGGGACAAATAGATGTTTAAAGATTAATTCAGTGTCCATGAAGCTCATCTGCTATCCTGCTCCAGCGTAGATGGATTAACAGTCCCTCCGAAAATAGAGAAACGAATTGTGGTCACCATAACACTCACATAAACTGCGAAGGACACATTGAATCTGACTATGCACGCAAGCGGATGTGCATATGTTCAGTGCCATAGTGGCTGTCAATCAGCTCGTTAGCCAATAGACATTCTCGTTCCCTGGGTAGAATTCGACGTTCAGAACCATCTTGTCTTCGTCGAACCAGACTGAGCAATGCGGTAGCTGATGCAGTTCACTTTCAACTATGTTTACCAGTCACCTCCATTCTCAGGCAGCACGATGAAATGCTCGTCACTCATGAGCGTATTTATCTACGTATCAGTAGCGTGTCTGTTCGGCGAAGTCACTCGTTTCACAGGTTACCGCCCGGTTAGGCTGCATACTGCTGGATGCCATTGATTGTCAGAGGCCAACAGTCAAATTGCAGCGAAAAAGGCGGGATCCAATTTTTTGGTGGCGGCAGGCGTTGTTATCTGTGTACAAAGCGACTGAACCCGGGCGTTGCCATCCTTCGCTCCACTAAACCAACTGGAACACTGCTTGTTTGTTGGCGAGGCCTGTCTTCTGAAGTTTTCCAATGACTTTGGTATAATTTTTAGAAGTTTGTAATTTAAAAACAGGTGGTTTTTGAAAAAAAAATGCCTCCAATTTTCAGGACGATTCTGAATCCTACCGAAACAACATCCGGTCATGTCAACGTCCAGCTGAATCAATCAAGTACTCCACCACTGGCAGACTTCAACTGGCGCTCCATCAGTAAGATTGGGGGAGGTGACAAGGGTAGCCCTGGGTGGTCGGTGGTAGTGTACCTGGCAGAAAACAGCCGTTCACTAAGCGAGACTTTTCTCCGTCTTTCCATTGACATTGTTTTCGGACTCCTCATTCAGTGAATCCACACCGTTCAAGGCCCCAGTCGAGAGGAACACTCAGACCAACTTTTTATTTAAAGGCGCCGTTCGATAAATATACAAACATAGACCTCAACGGATAGAATCTGCTAATTAACCTCTAACAATTCCCATAGAGTGAGGTCTGATAAACCATCCTTGTTTCCGAGTATTTTACTGGTCTGCATTGCCCTGCGGTACCTCGGTCCTCACGTTTCTTTATTTTTGCATGGTGGCTGTCCAGCTCTATGCTGAGTGGAAGCAGCCAAGAGGTCTGACTTGGTAACGAAGTATGAAGACACTGACCACTAAACTAAGTCGGGTCAACAACCTCCACCTCCTCAGATGAGAAACCTGGGACTCAACTTACCAACAGTTGATGACAGTGGCAGAAGCGGCCCAAACGCGCAATTAATGGCGCTCATGCATCTAAGCGATCACCTTCAGTGCGCAGCTATCCAGTTCCCTAACTAACTAAACATACTATCTGGCTGCATCTCCCACTTTCAGGTGATCGAAACTGTAACAGCTGCCTATGGTACACAGTTTATAGATGATTATTTGAATGGATTGAGCCATTGGCTGCGCGACACAACCAATCTGTCAGGATCATTAGCTACATGTTTTACCTTGCCCCGCGATCCCTATCGGGAAAGACAGCATTTACAAACGTGAATGAGTTGACTGGTAAAGGCTTTTATGTCATGATGCCAGGTGATCGACTGACCATTCCTGGGTCGTCTCCATCCGACACAAGGCTGACATACAAAGTACATGATGTAACTAGCGTAACGGATGCAGTGCAGCCAGCTTATCTAACGAGGGAGAATCATCCACCTGGCGCAACCCAGCATTACTGATGTGGTGTTCCCATCAGACTCAATGCTTCAGAGGTACCGAGTACCTTTCATACACAACAACCACGTCTCCGATCAATACACTCTACCTCTGACAGTCAAAATGATGTCACATCGGCGCCAGAAATGTCAGAACTCAGTAAACGTCGCCCTGGCATCCCCAATTCTACTTGATCAACGGCCACACATCAGATTCACTTTTAGGACTCATAAATGGGATTTTATGTGGACGTAGTAGCACCTGGTGACCACTGTCTAATGGAGTTATGGCTTCATTAGGCGAGGTCTCATTTCTGGCCAGACCGGACTAAGCATTCAGCTGATTCCGTGACAATGTTACACTCATGTCGGACGATATTGCCAATCCGCTTGATAGATACTGTTTGTGGTGATGGTATGCACAGGCTAGGGGACGTACACTTTCAGTCCGATGACTACTTAGATTCGGTCAGCGTGCTCCTATGACTTCGGGAAACTTGATGGTCTGCTGGGGTAACTACCGATCAACCATTGTGTTGCGTGTACCGTCACGTTATCCGTAGGGCACGGAATAAATGCTCAACGATCTCAATTCGGTCATCCATTAGCTATGTCCGACTAGCCGCACCAAACAAAATTTGAAATCTACCCTTAAGAGGGCAGGCTGAATAGTGAGATGGGCATCCGTGTCCAACACAAGGCTTCACTCAAGTAACATCTCTCCACGGTTGTTGACAGATGCAACTAAAACGATGCATTTCGCTGCGTGGAATTCCGTGTGGGGCATCGAAAGTGCCTCATCCATGACAATCGATAAACGAGCCGAAGCTATTGCCCAGACTTCGCCATGACAGAGAACTATCGATCTCGGTAACCTCAGCATAACTAAGCTAAACACAAACTCTTTCGGCTCAAACGAATCATCTTCCCAATGGCGGTTAATAAGAGTGATATTTTCGAAAAGATTTATAGATATCTCTTTAAAATAGTCCCATCTAATAGGCTGATGACAGTAATAATAGTAATAAGTAAAATAGATGGAAAACAAAATAACTAAATGCAACAATGATCTATCGAACATCACCATCGATACGTGAATCGGAGAAAGACTAGTAGTGGTCATTCATTGAAGCAGTTTCGTTTCAAGCGATTTGATGACCTCGTCCGAAACACGTTCGGCGGTGAGTGCCCTGAGTACTGTAGCCTGACACATGTCTGCGGCAACCTCGTGACTAGCCACCACAAACATTCCAGCAAGTTCGGCAACTGCAACATTGTAACCCGTTCCGATTTTGTTCTCCGAACCAACAGTCTTCGGGGTGTAGACCGACCGTCTCGGCCAAACAACAGCACGTAATAATCCGTGATTGCTTTTATGGTTTAGAACCCTGGCCAGAAACAGATTGTGTGCAATCTCTTCGGATTGACAAGCCTCAATGACACGCCATATGGAGCTGAAACAAGAGGAAACAGGTGACAAGGTGCTGCTTTAGTTTAAATTCTAAAACAGTTTAAATACAATGACCTTCTATTAGACAAACTCGAAGGTTCCCCTCAAACTCTGTACATTTATTCGGCTATAGAGAAAACCTGGAGTATGCCATACCACCCGAAGGAAGAATGAGGGCTGAGATAGTACCAGGTTGCCCAAGCCTAGAAAGACGTCAAGGTACCAGGTTTGAGTTCAAAACACGGACCTTCTGATCATTAGCTTTGCGCTTTAACCAGCGAGCTATCTCAGTTTTAGTGTGCAGTGGTTTCAACTAGAGGTGCTGAATAAGAAAAGCCAAGGCAAATCGCTAGTGATGCATCAGTTAGCGCCTGCTCCGTGTAGCTACCTACCCGTACCTCCCCCAAACCAACGGTCAACGAAACCGTGGTAGCTATAACAACTGAATGGCAAGCACAAGGTCTTTACAGCTGCAGATGATGAAGGCAGTGCACAACTGGCCACACAGCTCTGTGAGTATGTAAATAAATGTACTTTGAGGATTACCCGTTCACCAGCCCCTTTATTTCCTCAGAAAACCATTCGCGCGATGCCTTCTCATACGATGGCATAACCCAACATGTAAAATGGAGACGTTGGATTCCGTGGGGAAATAGGATGGAAGTAAGAAGTTAATAGTGGAATGGTTGTGGGGTAATTTCTTTTACCGTAGATTGCATAGGTATGCGGAGAGCGGGGTGGGTCAACGAATGACAATGTGTTCATTATTTTGTCAAAGGTCTGAAACGTCAGGTTGTCTGTGCGGCGAATGGCCTGTTCGCCAAACTGGTCGATTCAACCGGACACACTCCATCAACTGGCATTATCGATGAGCTGCCCAGAAGCGTGTGTGTGTGCGATATGAGTGAGTTTATCATGGTCTGCTTGACTGCGATGACCCAGGGCTTATCAGTTTTTGTTTAGATGAGCATTTCTATTGGCTTATTGATCGACCCAGCTCATTGAATAGACCAGCGGTTAAATTGTGAATGCCTATTTGTAAGTAGCCAAAGCTAGTGAAACCTCTCAAATCTTGGAAAAGTCACGAGTAATAGCCAGTACAGTGGAATAAAACATACTCAATGAATTGTCCAATTCCATCAACAGTGGAGAGCTCGAAAGTGAAGTTGTGCACAGGGTGTTCTGGAAGTTCCGAATACGCCGGAAGATTTGGCTTTGTCCGCGTATCCTAGACACGATGGTGTTTAAGGACAAAAAAAGGTTACTGGTAGGGTGAAATTTGGGAATTTTCAATTAAGGTTTTGTCCTCTAAATAAAGCCACTTTATGCTGGAAAGCTGAGAGGCACTGTTCCATCCCTATAGGGAATCACCAGCAGTGCGCACCTCACGATACTCCGAGGAGTTTCGAACCCGGGACCACAGATTGAACACTTAACTGTTCGATCGAGAGTGTCTGAACACCAATGTGATTATGGTTCATTTAGACGAGGCAGCGCCACTCACCCGTCGATCCGGAAAACCACATCTCGTAGTCACGTCCTGGATGGCTCAACTTCTGTTGACCTCTTGTACATTTTGGTAGTGTACCAACAGCTGTAGAGTGCTTCTCAGCTTTCCAGGACAGACTGGCTTCACTTACACGGCGAAATCTCAAAGGACCAATTGGTGGGAGACAAAAGCTAACCAATTCGTTGATGACGAGTCACATTCAGGTCATATGCACGAGGATGGTGGGATTTAAAGCTTCTATGAGGACACATGACCTATTGTTGGGATGAATAACCTAACTTCGTAATACGCCTAGCAGGGTCATTAAGCGCCTAGTGCACACTGCATCATCATAAGTGCTGTGTTACAAACGGTCATTTTGAACAAAGGATCTGAAATTCTACTCAGTAAATGAGATACCCCCTGACCTTTTGACAAACAGCAAGGAAAGTTGTCCGAACGAAGAAATCTTTGTATTGGTTGAAGACACAATTGCAAACAGCGTCTATCCAGCGTTTTATTAATTTATCAGACACATAGGTGGAGCACATTACAACGCACTGGTATGCCAGAATGACCACGGACACGAATGTTTCCATCAATCGATGATCAACAGTGGTAGCCATACAGATTGCGTTCCTCCTACACTACGAACATCTATTCGGGATTCATAGGTCATCCCACTTTGCACTGCTCGGTTTCTTATTTCCCACAACAGGTAGCGACTAGCGGGGGAACTAATGATCCTCGGGTTCTTGGGCCGGCCATAAAATGGACATCGCCAAAAATACGGAGTGTAGATTAGAGGACCGAATGAACTATAAGCGTCTCACATTCCATGTCCACAATCAACTCCAAATCATTCTTTTTTCCCCTGGTACGATTATCCTAGTTTTGCCTTCCTCCTGATTGTGTTGTATAAAACCGCTAGCCATGAAAACATCCTTTTTCTGTTCCGAATGTAGTCTATCTCTATTTGGATTTTTTTCCTTTGATGCTTCAATCGCCTAACACTAGAGTATTGTTCGCATGCCTGAGGTTGCATTCCCTTAAACCACCTTAATCTGCCGCGCCGAAAACAAGATACGATCTGCCTCATTGGCGACCCGTCGCTGCTTGACAACCTACAATATCTGGGTTATTGTCTGGGTCTATTGTCTGCGTCTATCCTGTTGTGGTTATTGGGAAGAAGTCTCCAGTGTTGGACCCATTCCCGGTCGATTTTGTCGTTCCATTCGTCATTCCAAAGGACTACGAAATCCAATCCTCTTCATCCACAAGAGTGGCAAATTACAAAGCGCCTCTTCAACTATTAGTTGTCGCATCCGCCTTCAGCCGCTCCCTCTCTATCTACTTTCAGATCATGAAGTGAAAAATATTTGACATATTAAGTTTGTCCTTTTTGTTTTAAAATTGTCCTTTGCATTGGGATTGCTGATTTTAGATTTTACCCTTCCCCCCACAATTTCAAGTATTCGTACGGCAGAAAAGCACATGGACGCGCGTACCGTAAACCGAAACGTTGGCTTGTTAGGCCTGACATGCAACACATCCAAGTGATAGGACAGACAATCTCGGAGGCATTCAATGTTGATAAAGTCAACCGTAAGCTGCATGGGACGGAACGCACTAAATTGTCCAGCCTAACTGAGGACCATCAATTGACCTGGGATGGGATCGAGTCCTCCGACTAGCGGGTATTAGCATCTGACCATGAAATCATGCCAACGCCATGCTTCGTTCTAAGCAGTTGTTGACTTAGCCAGACGATCCTACCACGGTCTAAGCGGACGCCTGACTACCCAGAGTAAAGTTTGAAGGAGACCACATAATCACAAGCATCCGACACAAATCACGTGCTCTAACCGGTCGCACATATCTAGCCGCTCAACCAATCCTGCTCTCATCAACAAGACAAGTCAATCTCCGACGTGCGCCGCGCATTGTACCGAACCCCTCGACCTCACACTCTGTGTACCGATTCGCATGCAGTTACGGTGAAACGTACATTTACAGAATAGGATTTTATGCGAATTCGTCTCGGAACATTGGCCTTATTATTTAAATCGTATAATCAACAGAGCGAATAATAGACAACAAGCCGAGACCCGAAAGTCTGCCCCATCGATTGCCACACACATCCTGTGCACTGGACACAGAGTTGACCTTGGATGGCGTCCACAATGTTACTGCACGGTGTCAACTCATAATCGTTCGTCGTCAGTGGGGCCATGTTGACCAATGAATACCGGCCCAGCGTGACCTTGACACAGACCATCAGGTTGCCTTGAACTTAAGAACCGAGCCTGAACCTGATTGGTCTCTCATATGATTGCCCCGTTCTAATGATTTATTGCTGTTTATTCCGGTTTATAATGTAAAACTGATGGTTTTTAGCATTGTGGCGGCAGAGATAAAAAACGAAATGTCGAAATTCCACAGTACTTGTCTTCTTTACATTAGTAAGTGGTCCGACCGTAAAAATGTTCGGTTAAGTTACAAAAACATAATGCATCCTCACCCTCACAAACCTAGTTAGTAACATCACTGTTGACACCCAGAATTCATTACGGTACAAGCGAAATTTTACTGTAAAAAACACTAAGTAGAAATTGAGGAAATGGACTGGAGCACCTCCAATCGAGGTAGGGCTGGAGATACCGTAAACGACTGCTATCCGCAGACCAGCCAATTGATGGCTACGATCATTCTGGAAGCGAAGTAAACATCCGGTAGAAAGAACTTGAATTCCTCCACAAGAGGGAGGCGAAATAAAAAATCAGTCCTTCGTAAAACAAATGTGCAGAGGGAAACAAAAAAATAACTGAGGTGTGCGTGGAACGACAAAACTAATCCGGAACTTACCTCTACCATCGCATACAGTGGCTCGGGTGCCTGCCAAAAATGGAAATGCAGGTGATTCACAGAAGCATGGGCAAGAAGACTGTTGAAACCCATGCATAAATACCTTGATGAAAGTGAAGAAGGAAAAGAGCAGTGGTATGGATGGATGTACGGTGTTGCATGCATTTCTACAGACACTCACAGTGTTATTAATGACACGCAAACAATACACTTGAACGGAATGTATAGTTGAACTGTTAAGTGAACAAAGTTCAAACTGAGGATCATGCGGAAAACTCGGTGCTAAGGCTAAGCTTCATTTGCGATTTGAAGGTGAGATCCGTTCGCTTAAGCAAGTCTGAACTGAATATTCCAACTGTTCTACTGAAGTGCACACAAAATCCAAAAAGTTGTGGGATATGCTATTTGGTTGCCGCAGCCAACCCAAAATGGCAGTTCAGATAAAATGTCGTTTGTCATGGAAAACACATGAAGTCCACTCTTCGGATTGACACCACCTGTGTGTCTGATTAACGTTCCATATCGGTCAGCATTCAGTGATGAGTAGCTATCACCACCACCACCACAAAACTTCAGCAGACTGTCGTCCCCAGAACTACGTGTAAGTAACATGCAAGAGATTTTGGTGAGTTTTTTCATGGTTAGTACTCAACCCCCTTACGGGGTTCGTCCCAACATCTGGATAATATTAATGACCCACCACCACCACCACAAAACTTCAGCAGACTGTCGTCCCCAGAACTACGTACCAGTAACATGCAAGAGATTTTGGTGAGTTTTTTCATGGTTAGTACTCAACCCCCTTACGGGGTTCGTCCCAACATCTGGATAGAATATATTAATGACAGCGTCGGACTGCGCACAACAAGAATTTACGGCCTCGTCCTGAGTCTCGATGACCAACCCGTCTAGAAGGGAGGGGAGGAGTCATGACCAAACGCAACGAACGACCGTCTTCATCTACATCTAAATGGATTTTTGACCTAACAGGCTGCAGGAATCCTAGAGACCAAGTCCCCATGTTGGTGTGCAATGAAGCCACATCATGTTCTGTGTAACTTCCCACTTACTAACGCAACCACCTTTTGTGGTCGTCCCGGGCTATTTCTGTAGCTTGTCACCTGATTTCTATGTGCATGGAACGCACCATACAACTGCGCAGCTAGCGTGAATCGTCCGGCTATAGATTTCATACACCACGTCGACTGGCGATATGAGATCTGTATTCAGAAAAGCGTCCATTGAAGTGGCTGCCTGACGTCATCCTCAGTGCTGACTATATCAAGGAATTTTATGGATTTCCGCATCCACAGACGACAGAAGAATCTTTCGTTAATATTACTTTCTGAACACAAAATTCACATCTACAGTCACCTCTGAAATGAGTTCCAAATAGCTCAGGGGTCAAGGCTCAAATGTACTGATCAGAAGGTCCGTGGTTCGAACCCAACCTTTGCATCCTCACTGCTCGTGTTTAGGCTTGGGCAATCTGGCAGTATTCCAGCCCCCGTGCTTTCTTCGGTCAACGTGGCAGCCAGGCACCGAAAGGGTATTACAGTGAACGACTATTTTTTTATGACACGCTTTATGAGAGTCCCTTCGGTCAACGTGGCAGCCAGGCACCGAAGGGGTATTACAGTGAACGACTATTTTTTATGACACGGTTTATGAGAGTCTAAGACACAGGTAATTCATGTAGGGTTTGTAATTGTGCAACATGTCCCCCGAAGGCCGTGGTTTTGTGAGCTCTTGAGGTGGGGGAATAAAGTAGAAAAATACCCTGGAATGTCTATGGATGAGTCTTGCAGTGGTGAAAGGGGGCAAGCAACTCAGATGTTGCGAGACAAAGGACCAGGTATGGTTACATCCAGGAATTATTGTATGGTCTCACTTCATCGGACTGCAATTGAGTGTTAACATGTAAAACTGATGTTGAGTGAGCACCCAATCGCACACCGATGATGTCTCCACAATTGCTGACGAAACAACTGCAAGCAAATTGCAAAGCTCAGCGAACAGATCGACAGTCACCTGATTTACAACCATTTAACGCAACCGAGCTACCAATATTTCGACGTATCTCCACTTCAGATCCATTGATGACAGCCTATATCAGCGATGGTTATGAGTTGCTGGTTGTCGGAGATCCGAATAGACCCAAAACCCTGTATTTGAGGGGGCTATGACATACAGCCATGCAGCGGCGCAGCCCGCACTGTAATCTTATACATACACACACCTTTCAGACAAAATAGGATGTTCTGCTTCTGATGCCCGTCTATTCCAGCCTTTGGGGTCCGCAGGGCGGAATCCTACACTAAAATCGGCTTACAGCTCTCTAAAGGGCTAAAACCCGGTCAAGGAACACAAGTAACTTCATTATGTATTTCGATGGTTGTACAGCCAGCACATCATCACTCCAGATGATCCAATGAATTCAGGCAGAAAAGTAAATTATCTCTAAATATATTATGGCGTTTCTCTTTATTAGTTGGTTTCCTACAAAAGATAAGTTCACTCCTGCCAACTCATCCGAATAGATTCCAAAACGCACATCGAAACCCTGGAGGAATTTCATGATCCAAAGCCATTCTGCATAGTCCCCACATACGAGACTTCCTGTGGAAAACCTACAATGACCCATTGGTCCTTAAAGATATACCCGAAATATATATGCGTCTAGTGAGTTCAATAAACAAAAATCTCTTAACGTTCTGATGGGAGTCCAATGTTCTCGGGGCCCCTGGTTGGTTTAGGTTCTTAAGCAGGTACGAGAACCATCATAAATAAATGATTTTATTAAAAAAAACATGGTTGTTGTGGAAGGAAACACGTAATCGAGCTGAGGAAACCAGCACCAGTGACGCCACAACTTTTATGTTTTAGTAGCACTGCTGATCACCGAGTCAGGCGTGATTGGTACGGTATCAGTCAGGTTGCTGAGATGTGTACGCTTATGCATTTGGAAGCCAAACTCCTCAATAAGTTTATGTATTTTTTTATTGCGACATTGCTACTCGCATCATAAAGCAGCTACACTACGCTTGAGTTTCAGTTCCACTCTTACCGTGAGCTTCCAACTAAAAGACAAGCTGCCAAAATCGACCATCAGTTTCACCGTGTGCTCGTATGTCGGTCGTATGATGAGTCGTTTGTTAGACGGATTACGGGAACACAATTCCACATCACTGAGGCTTAAGCGCCATTGCATTACCAACCAACCATCCTACGGAAGAAGAAAATGCCTTCCGCGCATTACCAACCAACCATCCTACGGAAGAAAATACCTTCCGAGGTAGCACTTTTGTTTGTTTTCTGACGGCAAGCGTCGAAAACTACCCTTCAAAAATAATCCACATTGTCGCGACAAACCAATGATGATTCTTTTAGCGGTGCTCTAGTTGTCACAAGACGACAGCCCAAATTCAAGGAGCTCTCGTTCAAAACACCATACAAATTAACACGAATCAATACAGAGGGGTTAGAGAAAATTATCAGTAGCGCCAATGGTGTTGCCGCTGGTCAATGCCGCGCGCAAATTGTTCCGGGGAACAACACCACCAACACAATTACATATGAAGAGTTCACAAAATGAAAACAAGAGTCGGGATATCAACAAATACACTCATTTGCATACCAATTTGGTCTTCACTGGAGGCTCAACTGAATCTTTCGCTTATGATATTGTTCAGCTGAATATGCTGCAAAAAGACCGCCTTATGTTTCGGTTTGCTCGATGTTTCGGATAAAACGAACGGGGATTTAGTTGAGGCTCCTGTGAAAACTAAATTGATATGCAAACGAATGTATCTGCCGAAATTTGACTAATTTGAGTTCAAGGAAACTCAAGGACTGAACCGACCTGATGAACTCTAAGAACGGCGACACCAGCAGTGAGCTGTCTTGTGATTGGTTTCCTTTATGAAAATAATCGGGATAGTTAAGGCGATCTCTCTTTGGCTTGAGTCCTGTTAACAGCAGAGACCAATACTGACTGCTGTTACTGAGGCACGGCTGGTAGAGGATAAAAATTAAAGATTTCGATTTGGCTACTTGAATTTTGTGAGTAGAAAGAAGTTTGTGACTCCTCAACGGACATTTTCAGTGGACATCGTCAGTGCACTGACGACGTATGGTCCGATTTGAAAGCAGCTTACCAATCGGCGCGGTGCTTCCCGACCAAAGCAATCAAGTGACATCCTACCAATACGTTATGGAAATCAGCACAAGAAGACATGAAGTAGGTGAGATTGTATGAGGACAGATAACCTTGAGTGCGATTTACTAGGTTTGAACTTTTAAAATAGTCTACGCGATGTTTCGTGCATAGATTCGTAAAAGAAACGAAAAACATGGACGAATCCGGGGCTCTGCCCGTATGACTCAGAGCCAGCTTTTCCATCCCATGTGTCACACTCGGTGGGGGAGGGTTGGAAGTGAAGTTGAGCTGTACTTCGTATGTAGATCAGACTGTATCATCGTCATCCACAGGTCCCAGCACTAGGACTGACCGCATTGTTCACAGTGTATCACACTCAACTTCGGCTTCTGTACGTCCGGCCTCAGTGACAGCCGTAAGCATTTTCAAACCCCGAAATCTTGTATACTTAGACGCACATTGAAGCAAGCAGGATAACAGGTGGCTCTTACTCGTACGCTGGATTCCCTCTGAATTGATAGATGCTGTTTTCAAAAACCAGGATACAGGATTCAAGTAATGTGACTGAAATGACTACCCCCATGCTCTCTTCCAGGTTCAGGATGCACACCTCTGGTGATGAAGAGGCCGCTGCAGCTGGATATGCCGGGGTGAGCATTGTATTGAGCGATCGAACGGAAGTGTCTAGCAGATATCCGTCAGATATTGCTGTGGTTGCTGGTAAGCTGAACGCTCAGGTGAGCAGACTAAGCGATGCTGAGGCTCAAATGGGTGGTCGTCTTGAATTGGACACGAGACGCGCGGACAGCGGAAGGCACCCGCTTCAGATGTATGTCGATCACAGACTGTTTCTTGCCAGTACCAATATTTGGAAGTGTGAATCACTCGACAACTACCCCCGAATCCGTTCTGAAAGACCAGCGTGGTTTCAGACAATTCACTAA